GACAGAAGGAAGGAAAGAAAAAGAAAGGAAAGAAAGAAGGAAAGAAAGAAAGAAAGAAAGAAGAAAGAAAGAAAGAAAGAAAGAAAGAAAGAAAGAAAGAAAGAAAGAAAGAAAAGAAAAAGAAGAAAGAAAAAAGAGAAAGAAAGAAAAAGCAAGCAAGCAAGCAAGCAAGCCAGCCTATTATGTTTCTGTTACCATTGTTACATAGTTTCAAAAGTCTTTCTGCTGGATGTGGAATGCAATCTTGCCTTGGCCAGCACTCTGTTGCTGAGCTGTTTCCATCCTTAGGGAAGAAACGTACCTGTGGCTGCTTTTATTCTTCCCTGCCTTGCCAGGGTCCCTGGAGTGGTGGCCCTTGAGGCTTCCTGAAGCACCTGCTATGGGCCAGGCACCTAGATTCTGCCCTGGAAGTTCACAGTCTAGCCTAGAGGACATGCAGGACAGCAGGTGATGATACAGGGTCAAGAATGTTCCAAAGGTTGAGACGTGGGGCTGGGAGGGACATGCGGAGTAGGGCGCCCATGACATCTAAACTGAGCCATTCACCAAATGTTCACAGCATCAATGAGCACCTTCTGTCCAGGGACTTCATCTTTAGGGTAAAAGCGTTTCTTCATTGAAATCCCAGCCAGGCGTGGTGGCTCATGCCTGTAATCCCAGCACTTCGGGAGGCCGAGGCAGGTGGTTCACGAGGTCCAGCGATCGATACCAGCCTGGCTAACCCGGTGAAACCCCGTCTCTACTAAAAATACAAAAAAATAGCCAGGTGTGGTGGTGGGCGCCTGTAATTCCAGCTACTAGGGAGGCTGAGGCAGGAGAATCGCTTAAACCCGGGACGTGGAGGTTGCAGTGAACTGAGATGGCACCACTGCACTCCAGCCTGGGTGACAGAGCAAGACTCCTTCTAAATAAATAAATAAATAAATAAATAAATACATGGAAACTCAAACCACTCCACTGGACTTTACAGTCAGTGAAGAGCCCTGCCAGTTTCTTGGCAGAAACCTGGGTCCCCCAAACCCCATTTTCCTGCGTCCCCTGAAAAGCAATAGCTATCCTGCATTGGTATCAGATGGCATGGTCCTTTTTATTTTTTAAGATGGATTCTCACTCTGTTGCCCAGGCTGCAGTGCAGTGGCATGATCTTGGCTCATTGCAACCTCTGCCGCCCAGGTTCAAGCAATTCTCCTACCTCAGCCTCCCGAGTAGCTGGGATTACAGGCACCTGCCACCTCGCCCATTTAATTTTTGTATTTTTAGTAGAGACAGGCTTTCTACATGTTGGTCAGGATGGTCTCAAACTCCC